AAATATTAGACACGTATTTTTTTATTTTGTCGTATAATAAAACAATACTTAGATAAAACGAATCAAAGTTTAGAAGTGGTCTCTAAAACGTCATTTCTACGTATAAAATGTACATAGAAGTGACGTCACGCGACATTTCAAATCAATATATCGTCGAAAGTATTTGTTTCTGTAAGAAAATAAAAAATACGTGACTAATGATTTAAAATAATCTACCAGACGGACATTAAAATAAAAATTAGGCATCTACCCTATTGTGATCGTAACAAACGATTGAAGGTTTTTTCTTGAGGGGTAAAATCATCCAATGGCTTCTCCCGATTTAAGCGAGGCGAGAGGGAGTGTCCAGACCCTTACTGACTAAACACCCCTTTCCTATTCCTGCTCTTCGAGCCGGAGCCCCGGCAAACAGTTAGTCCTTCCACGGGTCCGTATCGAACATCAGCCCTACTGAGTCCCATCTGTGGTGGTCTGATGGCTTTTTGAGGCGCGGGTGGAACGCGACGCCGTAAGCACGGGTAAAATATCAGAAATCGCAGGCCATAGAAAGCAAGGAGAATACAATAGGGTAGATGCCTAACTTTTATTTTGAATGTCCGCCTGGTAGATTATTTTAAATCATTAGCCACGTTTTTTTATGGCATAAGCAGGTAAGCTAACTGATGAATCACCTGATGGTAAGCAATCGGCGTCTCCATGGACACCTGGAACACCAGAGGCGTTACAAGTGCGTTACCGGCCTTTTGGGGATTAGGAGTTTGAGGATCGTTGAGACTCAGGAATTGGGGAGATTGGGGAAAGGCAGGGTAATTGGGCCCCCGGTAACCTCACTCACACGACGAAACACAACGCAAGCGTTGCTTCACGTCGGTTTTCTGTGAGGCCGTGGTATCAGTCCGGTCGAACCGGCCCATTCGTGCTGAAGCATGGCTCTCCGACACGTATTTTTTATTGTCTTACAGAAACGAATACCTACTTTCGACGATATATTGATTTGAAATTTGCGGCGACGTCGCGCAGCTCACTGAAACTAGTAGAGCTTTTCTCAGTATATTCTCGTGAGTAACCCGCCATTTTAGTTAATGCTGTAAATATAAAGATGGCGATGACAGAATCACGGACAAATACCTACTAGTTGTACTATAATATGATGGTAAATGATCTCATGATATTAAGTCACGATTTCTCAATGCAATAAATTGCAGGTAGTGATGATTGAACAATAACAAGTCATGATTTATGTTCCCCGATGAGGCAAACAAAGGTGCAAACATATATTATAAAATGTATACCTATATATACCTACACACATAACATAACATCACGCCTTTTATCCCCCAAGGGGCAGGCACAGGCAGAGGTGCACACAAAAGTAACACCCACTTTTCACTATTTATTTTATAAGTCTCATATAATAGAGGGTGAGCCTATATATACCGTGCACGATTCCAGGCTCCGTGCTACTACTAAGATTTCTTTAAAAACCCTGTAATACTTTGCCCGACCCAGGAATCGAACCCGAGACCCTTTGCCCGACAGTCGCACATGCGACCACTCGGCCAATGAGGCAGGTTAATGTTATATAATAATTATGTTTTTTTAAGGGATGAGCCGGTAAACGATCAGAAAGATCACCTGATGGTAAGCAATCAGTGTCGCCCATGGACACCTGGAACACCAGAGGCGTTACATGTGTATATGTCTGGTATTTATAGTTATCTTAATGCAGAGTACATAAGAAGATGAGCTCTTTATGATGTTTTGTTAAGTTTTCCTGTTAGGTAGATAACTAGTTATAATATATAGGTATAAAAATGAGGATGTAGGTATAAGTTCGTACCTAACATTCGTGTAAGTTTAAATTATTAATATTATAATCACAGATCAAGTGTGGGAGAGCCATGCTTCGGCACGAATGAGCCGGCACGACCGGAGTGATACCACGGCCTCACAGAAAACCGACGTGAAGCAACGCTTGCGTTGTGTTTCGTCGTGTGAGTGAGGTTACCGGAGGCCCAATTACCCTCCCCTTCCCCAATCTCCCCAATCCCTGAATCCCCAACTATCCTCAAACTCCTAATCCCCAAAAAGTCGGTGACGCACTTGTAACGCCTCTGGTGTTCCAGGTGTCCATGGGCGACGCCAATTGCTTACCATCAGGTGATCCGTCTGCTAGTTTACCGGCTTATGCCATAAAAAAATAATAATACAATCATCATCAAAGGCGGAGATCGCGTGACGAACTCCGGCCACCGTAGGCGTAGTAGTCTGCGGACCAGAACCAGACCCGTGCGTTCGGCGTGTCGCGTTCCTCAAAGAACCATCAGACCACCGCAGATGGGGCCCAGTAGGGCTGATGCCCGATACGGAGCCGCGGAAGGCCTAACGGGTTGCCGGGGCTCCGGTTCGAAGAGCAGGCGTAGGAACGGGGTGGTTTTTATTCAATAAGAGTCTGACACTCCCTCTCGCCAACCCAAGGCGGGAGAAGACATTGGATGATTTTCCCCCCTTAAAAAATAGCCTCTTTAATAAATTTCCTATGTAACACAAGAATAATTTGGAATATGGAAAAAATAGGGAATCCCAAAAACACGGGTTTATCATAGAATTATTTATTTATGCATATAAATACTAAATCTGTCGTCTAGACTAATAGATTAGTGTTCTGACCTTTTAATATAGAATTTATTTATTCAATTTAATATAAGGATAATATAATAGAGGTAATTAACATAAAAAGAATTACCATATAATTTATGTCTATTATACCTATACGATTTATACACGAAGTTAAATTGATAATTTAATAAAATTAAAGTAATCGCTGCATCCAGTGGTCTATACTAATATTGTAAAGAGGAAAGATTTGTATGTACCTATTTTTGTATGTTTATAATGAATAGGCTCAAAAACTACTGGGCCGATTTAAAAAAATCTTTCACCAGTAGAATGCTACATTCTACCAATTTGACATAGGCTACATTTCATTTTGAAAAAAATTAGGTACCCCTGGTAAAATCTGAACAATGTAACCGAAAGTGTAGAAAAATGAGTCTTGAAATGTTTTTCGTCGAATGCGCTGCCGAAACTATTAGTGATAGAACAAAACAATGTACAACAATATTGAAGAACATCATAAAGTCTACAAAAAACTCCCCGGTACCATATGTCCAACTATTGTAGTTATGTCACTACAACAATCCAAATTTCCAAAAATAAATAATTGTCTACCCCGTGCGAAGCCGGGACGGGCTGCTAGTATGCTAGAAGAATATTTTTTACGTGTAATATTTACATTGTTTCGGCAGGTGCCACAGACAAATCAGCAGCGCTGAAATAAACGCGGACCTGTCTTTTATTTGACCTATTTAATTCTAATATTGATTATTACAGCCGTCCCTGTTTCATCATATCTCAAATCATACATTGGCATGAGCTGTCCACACATTACACACATAACTCCACAATTATTATAGCACATTATTAATAACTATTATATTTGTTAATAAATTGAACACACAAAATTAATAACAAAGTTTCTATACATAATTATGTGGATTACAAGTATGTGTTGCTCTCGTCCGTGCGTCACTGCAGGGGTGCCAACTGAAAATCAGTGTTGGGTGCTCATTGTGCCCAGCTTTATGCTGAGTTGGCGACCCGTTCGGATTGGACATGTCCGCCAACACCGCGCACTTGAATGGCTTATTGGCTTGTTTTAGTTTTAGTTTTATAATTTAACTTTTATCTTTTAATTTTTCTGTTTTTATGCTTTTTTTATATTTATGTCTTTTCTGGCGTGCATGTCTTATGCCGAATAAACATTTTTCATTTCATTTCATTTCACATCCATATTTCCAAATTTACCGATCCAACAACCCATACATAACACATAACATCACGCCTTTTATCCCCGAAGGGTTAGGCAGAGGTGCACATTTTACCACAGTACAATGTAACACCCACTTTTCACTATTTATGTTATGAGTCCCATGTAATAGGGGGTGAGCATATTGCCATATCTTTTTCGTTATCTACAATAATTCTACACTGATCTTGGGTACGTTCCATAGTGCATACAGGGATAGTCGCCAGTTTGTGTAACCATTATCATCATCATCATCAACAGTCTATTTTCGTCCACTGCTGGACATACGCCTCTCCAATGGCACGCCACTGAGCTCGGTCTTCAGCTCTGCGCATCCAACCACTGCCAGCCACTTTACGTATATCGTCACTCCACCTAGCTGGAGGGCGCCCTACACTACGTTTGCCTAGACGCGGTCTCCATTCTAGAACACGTCTACCCCAGCGGTCATCGGTTCTTCGACAAATGTGACCGGCCCACTGCCATTTCTGCTAATCCTTTGGGCTACATCGGTAACTTTATTGGGTGTTTCTGTGCATTACATCTATATTTAAGTAGTCTAAAGGGCCTCAATGACCGGGACCCTGTGGTCCCGTGAATGGTGAAGATAACATTGTTGTCATGATTATCTGGCCATTAGTGCTCAGCACTGAGCATAGGTCTCTTCTCACAACGAGAAGGTTATGATATCCTTTTTTGGGGCAAGCACAACCACCCAAAACTGCTGCCACTTTTGTGGCCCAGGACCTATAGTAGATACCATGAAAACATCAGAACACTGAAGTCCGGCGCGTCCCAGATAACATGTTCGTTTAAGTCGGTCCGATTACAGAGTCCGATAAAAGACATAAAGATATTTTCTTGTGTGTTTAACAAATAAAATAATGCTCGGGCCACACTAACGTCAACGTCAATGCCGATTATCGCGATGTTTACTACGATAATTTTAACGCGATAAAGTGGGTGGCTACATTTTAAATTTCAACCGGAATGCCCATCATGCCAAACGGCGATGTGAATTCCGTTGTCAAATTATCGCGTTGACCCGTGGCTACACCTACGGTGAACGTGCATTATCGCGATAAGCAATGGTAATTTCCGTTTGTGTGGCCCGAGCATAATAGAGACTTACCTTCAATTCCATTAATGTCAAAAGTAAGTTGTTTCCAAGCGAATACTTCGTCAAACTTGCCCACCCTGTTTCTGAGCTGACAGCGTGACGGTACAGATGTAATCGCCAATAATATTGTAAAATATAACAGCCTCATTTTTTATCCTACAAAAGAAAGAATTTTTCAGTTAATCGTTATGGGATAGATCGGTACTTTAGCGGATTTTTGGGGATTTGAAGAATGGAGGATTGGTCGGGAGAGAATTAATCGTTTTCTTTTAAAAAATATCCGATTTGGCCACTACCTCGCTGGTGTAAGCAATGATATCTTGTGAACGCAAGCGTAACACTGTGAAACTGAACACTTCACCTAGAATCAACATAACATAACATCACGCCTTTTATCCCCGAAGGGGTAGGCAGAGGTGCACATTATGCCACTGTACAATGTAACACCCACTTTTCACTATTTATGTTATGAGTCCTATGTAATAGGGGGTGAGCCTATTGCCATATACCGGGCACAATTCCAGACTCCGTGCTACTACTGAGAATTTTTTAAAAATCCAGTTATACTTAGCCAGACCCGGAAATCGAACCCGAAACCCCTTGCCCGGCAGTCGCAAATGCGACCACTCAACCAACGAGGCAGTCAACTAGAATAAACTAAATTGAAATGAAGTTTTGGTATATGCAGATTACAAGTATGTGTTGCTCTCGTCCGTGCGTCACTGCAGGGGTGCCAACTTAAAATCAATGTTTAGTGCTAATTGAGCCCAGCTTTTTGCTGAGTTGGCAACCCATTCGGATTGGGCATGTCCGCCAACACCGCACAATATGTTGCACCTATATTATCAGCTTCTTTTAGTTTTATAATTTACCTTATTATCTTTTTTTTCTTTCTGTGTCTGTTTTTAAACCTTTTTATTGTTATGTGTAATAATGTATTTATTTTTCCTTTCCTAGCGTGCATGTAAAATGCCGATTAACTCTTTCAGTCACACTTTTAACTGGTTACGAATATATTTTATTGAATTATACTGAAATGCTTAAAAACCAATGCAAAGTAATTTGAAGCATACTTCAAAAATTGAATTTCTAAGAAAAGGTGGTTAGCTACAGTGACCACCATGACTGAAAGAGTTTACGTATTTCACTTTCATTTTCGTTACTTCACGACGGTATACCGTGAGGCCATGGTATATGGCGCATTCGTACCGAAGCATGGCTCTCCTACGTTTAAAATGAGTTTAGTGTAAGGCAATAGGCTGTTTCCCTACCTTACATAAGTATAGGTGGGTGATTCTACAAAAAAAAATGAACGGCGTCATTACCCTTAAGCCACAGTTAACAATTCTGCTGATTAAAATACAAAGTTTAGTTTCAAAAAATTGAGCCATGTCACTGCTCTCACCGAATGCAATAAAATACAGATGCTAATAAGTTACTGCGATGCTTAACAACGCGAGAGGATAATGATTTGTTAAATAAAAGTTAAAGTTTTTTTAAGAAACACCCAGGTACTATCCGACATAGAACTGTGAATTGAGTTAACGTAAAGATAGTTTAACCTAAAAGCTACTTTAAAGCATCATCCTTAAAATTCATAACATAATTGGCGAAAATTGGGTGTTAACTTTTAGATGTGCCTTTGTTTCACTTCACATTAACAGCCTATAAACAGTCACTACTGACCAAAAGCCTCTTCACGGAGAAGGTTTGAGCATTAACCACCACGCTTGCTCAATACGGGTTGGCGATTACAAACTTATAATTGGATATTATAAGCCCAGGTTTCCTCACGATGTTTTCCTTCACCGTTTGTCAGTAGTGTCTAAATAATCTTAGGGTTAATTTTTCAATCGTCAGTTAATTTTTACCTGTAGAATAAAATTGACATTTGACAGTTTTTAGTATGGAGTAATATTTAACAATTCTTAAATATTCACCAGTTAAAATTTACCTGGCGTTGGAAAAGTCAGACCTTAAAAAGGTAAAACACGGAAAAAGTCACATTGGTGCTTGCCGTTGGTAGGTTTCGAACCCGAACCTACCATGTCAATACATCGCACCTTTAATGATAAACCGAAATAATGCGAAATTTTAAATTGTTGGGAAAATGAGGTCAAAGTTTTGCAAGTATGACTGGATTTATATTTTTACGAACTACAAAAGGACGATTACGATTACAATGATTCTAATTAGTGGTTAATGTAAGTAATGAAATTAGCTATCAATAGGTATATGAATGTTTTCAATACAATTACAATTTTTTTAGAGGACGATACCTCTATTTCACCTACTCACTCACTCTGCGTGCTGCAACTGCTAATGCGTTTTATGACGAAAAGTTAAAATCCCGGTTTTTTTACTTATTACTAAAGGTGCGACATGTGCCTTTGTAAGGTACATCTTCTTATTAAACTGTCAAATACCAAGCGGTCACCGGTGACCGCAACCTATTGTTCTTTAATTGTGTCTATAAATACGGTGCTCGACGAGTTAAATAAAAGTTACCTATGTTTTGTTGTGACGCCAAAACTATTACTAAACCCGTTTACCGATTCGCTCCGTTGTTTAGATTTAAAATTATACCATTCAGCGGAAGATTACCAAATTGTTTGTTTATTTTCATGTAGTTGCTTGCTTAGATTGCCTCGTTGGCCGAATGGTCGCAATATCCTTATGTGACGCGAGCGAAGCCGCGGGTAAAAGCTAGTAATTAATAATTCTCATTTTTCGTTCGTGTGGATTGTGCATTCAGATTAGTGTTCCGAAAATTCCGAAAAGATTGAAACTAATTTCTGTTAATTTCATTCATTTTTCACTCACAAAAGTTCGTAATAAATGGTATTGTGGTAATAATGGTAGTAAATGCGAAGTTTTGGACGAAACTTCGTTTTTCATCGAAGATCTACTATTTTGTTGTTTTTGCATAAAAGAGTACTTAAACTTAGTAGGTATACAATTATCTAACGTTACGCCTTATAATTCTCGCGTATAGACAGAGACGTACATCTAGGTATGTACAATGTAACACCCACTTTTCACTATTTATGTTATGAGTCCCATGTAATAGAGGGTGAGCCTATTGTCCCATAAACCGACCACAATTCTGTCTAAACTCCTTACCAAGAATTTAGGACAACGAAAAATCCCACAAACACATTGTCCGACCAATAACACATTCATCCCTAATCACATTGGACTCATAACATAAATAGTGAAAAGTGGGTGTTACATTGTATAGTGGCATTAAGTGCCGTAATGTACACCTCTGCCTACGTCTTCAAAGTCAAAGTCAAAGTCAAAATCATTTATTTCAATTAGGCCAGAATGGCACTTTTGAACGTCAACTAAAAAATAATAAAAAGTGAAGCTATTTGCTCATTCCAAGGTGTAGATTCCTATGGAGAAGAACGAACAAGAAACTCCATAGGTTACTCTTTTTCAATCAGGTTCACAATACAATTTACTAGTTACATAGTTTTGCTGTTTGGATTGTGCGAGAACAATGTAACACTAAAATCCAGTCAAAGTCCTTCGGGGACAAAAAGGCGTGATGTTATGTTATGTTACATGGCTGGGAATTCGAGTCATCCTACTCTTGACATAATGATAAATATCACGCGAGTAAATCCTTGAACGTATGTATGTCGTGGTGGCCCGGAGGTTTAAGACGCCCGCTTCTCATGCATGACGGAACGGGTTCAAGACCCACCAACAGCAAGTACCAATGTGACATTTTCCGAGTTTTATGCACTTTCTAAGATCTAGATACCACCGACAATCGGTGAAGGAAAATATGAGAAAAATTGGGCCTATAATAATTTCGAATTATAAGTTTGTAATCGCCAACCCGCATAGAGCAAGTGAGCTAATTAATGCCAAATCTGGGTGCTGCTTACTCCCTTGAAACCAATCTCAATGTCAATGCAATTTCAATCCAATAAAATTTCAATCATTATTCAATGTCGACATTATACAACCCCTATCGTAGCTGTTAAAATAGCATTCAGAGTACGGAATATAAAGCCAAACTCAATACTATTTAGTTGAGTCGCGGAGAACCTAACGGGTAACCGGGGCTGGAGAAGGAACGGGGAGGTTTTTAGTCAGTAAGAGTCTGATACTCCCTCCCGCCTCACCCAGACGGGAGCAGTCATTCGATGATTTTCCCCCCTTAAGTTATGAGTCCCATGTAATAGTGAGCCCATTGTCATATAGTGGGCACAATTCCATACTCCATGCTATTGCTGAGATTTATTTTAAAAACTCAATAAATACTTTGATCGACCCGGGCATCGAACCCAAGACACCTTGCTCGGCAGTCGCGACCACTCGGCGAACGAGGCAGTCAAAGTCAAAGTCAAAGTCAAAATCATTTATTTCAATTAGACCAGGATGGCACTTTTGAACGTCAAACAAAAAAAAATTATAAGTGAAGCTAGTTGCTCATTCCAAGGCGTAGATTCCTATGGAAAAAACAAAAATGTTATATTTTATATTACTTGATATTTAGAGAAATAAAATCTCATACATATGTAATCCTCGAGTTTTCCGATTTATTTATATTTTTGTCAAGTGAAACAAGTGAATTTATTTCTGCAAATAGGCTACAAGGCAGCACTTTTACACGTCAATTTTATCAAGCGAACGATGAGGCCGACATTTCCTAACTGACTACTCTGAGAAGAAATGCCGAAACAAACTCAGAGGTCTGTCTCTTTTAAAGTCCAGACAATATGTATAACAGATTATGTGTGAGAACCGTGCAAGTTGCAAGTGTCGTATTAACACATTTGAAAAAACCTATAAAATAATAATTATAAAACAATTTGCACTTACCTATTTCAAGGTTCTTTTTTAATAAATAAATTCCCTAAAATTCACAATCACAACACAGAATCCACAAAAAATTAAATAGTATTCAAAAATGTGTATTATTAATTCACAAAATAGTATTATTAAAACGAGTCTATTATTGAAAATGTGTATTATTATTATTAGAATAAGACACGTCTGTCATAGATCAGTGTTTACTACTTTATGATGTGTTATTGATTTAACTTAACGCAGAGATGACCCTACAACGGTTATAGTGATGTTCCGTGTCGATAAAATCTTATCGATGTTTATGATTGTAGGAAAAGTTAAGATTTTTTAGGAAGTCATTTGTCAATTGACTATCAATAGCGATTGATGAATAAATGCTTCGACTTTTGTGTTAAAAAAGCTTAAGCATTGGATGCTTTGATTTCAAATACCCTATTTTATATAGGACACTGGGCTCTTAGAGTATTGTTGTAAATATATAACGTAAATGTATGACGTATATTGAATATGAACTAATACTTTTACTGATTTGCTTTTGATATCGGATTTGATCTTATTTTGTAATAAAACGAATAATATAAATATCTGTCTGCCTTTTGCAATAAATAAAGCTCTAAAATTCATTATGATATAGTAAAATAGAGATATAACAATTTCTTGTTTCAAATTTCTAAAATTAGGTATCACAAATAAAAAAAAATATTTTATTATATGTATCGTATATATATTCATAAGCATGTAGTAAAAAATACAATATTACAAATATACACTCCAATTATATTTATCTGATGATGATATTATGATGAATCATCTGAAGATGATTGAAGTCTAACGTTAAATCCTAAATAAGTATTCATATGACTGTCTAAATACTTAATATCTGCATAGATTTTCTATAAAAACTAGTTGTCCTTGAGTTTCATTCAAGATTAGTTTAGTCTGAATAGACTTAAGATTAGTATACAAACATAATGCTACTATTTTTAATCCTCGAAGGTAATACAGAGATTTATATATTTCAAATAATATAAATTAAAAATAGTATAACATTACAGTCATAAAACCAAGGCGTTATACATTTCGATGCACAAATGTACAATGTAACAACGATTTTTCACCTATTATGTTATGAGTCCCATGTAAAAGCAGGCAAGGCGCATGTAATGTCCCAAGTGTTGCAGGCGTACATAGGCCACGGTAACCGCTTACCATCATTACCGCTTGAAACCAATCTCAATTTCAATCCAATAAAATCTCAATAGTTATTCAATATCAAAACTATACAACCCTTATCGTAGCTGTTAAAATAGCATTCAGGGTACGGAATATAAAGCTAAACTCAATACCATTTAGTTCCTTCAATATCCACGCAATACAGATGCAATAGGCGCTAGTGTTGCAACTCAAGAGTACGAAATTTCACAATACCAATGTCAATCGATCGAAATTGGATTCAAGAGTAAGCCCCCAGATGGGCTGTGTGTATTTTTGCCACCGTTGTGGTATAAAAAAAATGTAATAGGGAATCAGTCTATTGTCATAATATACAATAGATGACTAATTTTTATTTTAATATCCGTCTGGTAGATTACTTGAAAATACTAGACACGTATTTTTTTATTTTCTCACAGAAACAAATTCTTTCGACGATGTATTGATTGAAATATCACGTGACGTCACTTCTAGGTACGATTTATATGTAAAAATGAAGTATTTGGCTCCCACTCCTAATCTTTGATTCGTTTTATCTAAGTACTGTTTTAATACGATAAAATAAATATAATAATAAAAAATCGCGGATTACTCACGTGAATATACTGAGAAAAGCTCTACTAGTTACTACTACCACATGAGCAGTGTACGTCGCAGCAATGTCGCACAGCCTACTACCTGCCAAAGAACCCCTTAGTATGTCTCACAATAGTAATTACAAAAACATAATAATACGTGTCTAATATTTATTCACTACCTAACTGATGGTCTAAAATAAATTATTATGTTTTCGGCTTACTCACGTAATAATTTGACGAAGAACTAGACTAGTTTCAAGCGATACTAGAGGCTCATATTCATGAGCAGCATTTCTCGACCCGCGACGCGGCGACAGGCGCGTTGATACTGTCAGTTGCTGATACAATAATTTATTTAGTAGGTATGTCTCACGAAAGTTACAATACAAAGACTAAATAGATTTTTAATTTTCATACCTTGTCATCATTCCTACTCTAAACATAGCTACTACGAGAATTTTGTAAAGACCTAACAGTACGGATCCAATTTAGAACCTGTTGCTTGTGGCTCTTAGACCAGTGAAGCATTAAGAATAACAAAATTAAAAAAAGGAAATAATTATTTATCCTGGCATAAACTAGAAATAAAAACACTCAAAATACGTTGTTTCTTATAACTAAAAGAACATCTATTCTATATTCTATATCTATATTCTATATATCTATATTCTATATCTATATTCTATATATCTATATTCTATATCTATATCTATATATAAAAGAAAGTCGTGTTTGTTACACCACTTATAACTCACGAACGGCAGAACAGATTTGGCTGAAGGTTGGTAGGGAAGTAGCTTAGAGCCAGGAGACAGACATAAAGATATTTTTATCCCGTTCGACAGCGTTTGAAAATTTAAATAATGTAACCCGATGTGTGAAAATATTACCAAAAAACTCTTTATATCGCTTAAGCCTTTGACTGCCAATAGGAAACTGTTTTCAAAGACTAATAATAGTATTAAGGTGCATCAGAATCAGAGATTCTAAAGAAAAAATACGAATTCAATCAATTATTATTATTTATTTATTATTATTTCTACTTATTTATTGCCATTAAGGCGGAACAAAGTTCGCCGGGTCAGCTAGTAAGTATTATAAAATAAAAAGTTTTATCGATAAAAATCATCGATAGCACGAGCCCATCCCTATTGTCCTTGATCGTTTACCTAGTTTTAAGAGGTTATCTAGTTATATATATATATCTATTAACATAAAATAATAGTTTTATTTAACTGTGTCAAGTTAACGGGATCTTATATCTAAAGGCCTAGGAATTTTTTGGGGGTCACTCTGATTTTTATCGAATACTAGCCTTTACCCGCGACTTTGGCCGTGTATTTTTGTTTTATCCCAGGAGAGAATTTAATAGGGATTAAAAGTATTGTATCTCCTAAGTACCTAAGCCCATGTACACACGGCCATATATCAATCTATACAAAACCAGTTTATCCTGGTATCGCGTCGCATCATCTTTCCGCACATTTAACGTTCAGTTTATACTGGTTATGTAAAGCTCGATGTGTAGCCGTGCGTACCAGCCCTACCTGTATACCAAATTTCATCAAAATCCGTTTAGTAGTTTCAGCGGACAAACATCCAAACATCTGAACATCCAATCATCCAAACATCTAAACAAAGAAACTTTCACATTATTTTATAATAACATAACATAACATAACATCACGCCTTTTATCCCCGAAGGGGTAGGCAGAGGTGTAAAGTAACGCCCACTTTTCACTATTTATGTTATGAGTCCCATGTAATAGGGGGTGAGCCTATTGCCATATACCGGGCACATTTCCAGACTCCGTGCTACTACTGAGATTTTTTTATAAACCCAGTAATACTTTGCTCGACCCGGGAATCGAACCCGAGACCCCTTGCCCGGCAGTCGCACTCGCGACCACTCGGCCAACGAGGCAGTCTAATATTTCGAGGCAAAATAAATAAGATAAACGAGGCAGTCATTATCATACTAATATTTTGTAATATTAGTGTGATTTATATCGTTATAGTAGGGGAGCCCATGAAGGGATTTCGGTAGTTACTCGAGCGCGTCAGATTAACATATGGGGAAAACCTAGTGTCATGAATATACCCAACATATATCCGATCTGATTAGAAAGGGGGGACCAAAATTAAAAAAAAGTCTGACTAAATAAAGTCAGTTTCGTCAGATTAAGGGAAGTTAGGTCAATGCCATGCTAAAGGAAGTGTATTTAAAAAATGTGCCCATTCCAATGTGGATTTTGAAGGGTTCTCGTTGGTACTCTCCAGATCATTCAACTCCACCATGCAAACTGGCAGATTAAGAGTTTTTTATTATCAAAGACACATGAAGCATGTACATTATTATCAATATCTGACACGCTCGACCACTAGAACAAAAGTTACGCGTAACAGATTCAAAGATCTGTGGATTCCCCCTTCCCCCACCGGTGTAAGAAATTGTCACTAAACCATTTTTTCTTTCTATCACCATATTTTTAAAATCCAGTAAGTTCCAACGACGCTCGAGTAAATCCAAATTTAGCATCGTGGGCTCCCCTACTATTAGTCAAGTATAGCAGGCGCAACTGTCGACTGTCGAGTAAGGGCTTTCTGGTTCGAGTTTCTACAACTTAACATGAATAATTACATATACTATGTATATGTGCTAATTATTCTAGAATTGTGCCCGGTATACGGCAATAGTCTCACTCACCCTCTATTACATGGGACTCATAACTTACATAGTGAAAAGTGGGTGTTACATTGTACAGTAGTATTAAGTGCCGTAATGCGCACCTCTGCCTACCCCTGTTATGTAAATGCTAACTAAACATGTTATCTGATAGAACTGCACATACAATATGAAACACCCATTTTAATTTAATAATATTGAATCGGAATTTTCGGAAATCTTTGAATTTGTCATGGGATAAGTCAGTAAATGAGCAGACGGATCCCCTTTTTTTGAGGGGGAGAAATAATCGAATGGCTTTTCCTGCCCGGGTAAGGTGGGAGGGAGTGTCAGACTCTTACTGACTAAAACCCACACCGTTCCTACTCATCCACTTCGAGCCGGAGCCCTGGTAACCTGTTAAGTCCTCTGCGGCTCCGTAGCGGCATCAGCCCTATTGGGAAACATCTGTGGTGGTCTGATGTTAGACGAATCCCCTGATAGTAATCAATCGGCGTCGCCCATGTACACCCGAAATTCCAGAGGCCTTATAAGAGCGTTGTCGGCCTGTCGGGGGTAAGGAATTAGAGGATTGTTGACGATTCTGAGATAGGGAAGATTGGGGACCTCCAGTAACCTCACTCATACGACGAAACATCATCACGTCGGTTTTCTGCTCGACCGTGGTATCACTCCATTCGAGCCGGCCCATTCGTGCCGAAACATAGTTCTATTATATATAACGAGAATAAACAAATGAAACAAATGAATAATAAAATTATTATTATTTATTAATGACTCATACATAAATTTACATTATATTATCTAGATTATCGTCTTTACTTACAATTTTATATTAATTTTTAAATGGTTTTGTAACTTATATATTGTTAATAATAAAAATAAAAAATATTCTATTTTTGTGTTCTTGAGATTGGATCTGTTGATTGAAACTCTTAAACTACAGGGTGGATTTGTATAAATTTCTCAATTTTAATATTAGAGGTAGGTATAATGCTTTTTAGAGACAAATTATGTAAATCGGTGCAAGCAATATCATTTCAGGAGTTATAAATCACAGGTTTCGGTAACTCATTTTCATTGATACATTATAAATATATATATAAAACATCTCTCGTACTAATAGCTAGATCATTTTTAAGAAAATAGTTTTATTAATTCAAGTTATGTTTATTTGTCACAGACAGTGTGTTTGATGAGATCCGAAATTTTGGCCCTGAAATAAAATACAAAATATTAATAACTAGCGACCCGGCCCGGCTTCGAACGGGTACAATATGCATGTATTACACATATAAACCTTCCTTAACTCATTGAGTACCGTCATTATAGACACAATTATATAACAATAGGTTGCGGTCACCGGTGTCCTCGCGGTGTTTGACAGTTTTAAGAATCACTCTATATATTTAAAAAAAACCGCATCAAAATCCGTTGCGTAGTTTTAAAGATCTAAGCACACATAGGGACAGACAGACGGCGGAGAGCGACTTTGTTTTATACTATGTAGGGATAACAATGAAATATTTGGTGCATTATGTAGTTTAAAACTTGAAAAGAGACAATAGGTAACCAAAGAATATAATATCACTCTTAAGGCCACTATTTTCAACAGTTAAATTGTATCAGAAGAATAACTTTGAATATTCGACAATAGGGTAAGAAAATTAAAAAGCCTAAGTAGTCCGTCAGTTACATAATAAAAAAATATAAGACACGTATTTTTTATTTCTAGTGTAAAGTTACTTACAATACTTAGATATAAAATGGCTTTAAGTTTAGGAGTCATGGGAGGTCATTACGTCACAACGTGCTATAAAATGTAGCATGCTGTGACGTCACACGAGATTTCAAATTAATATATCGTCGAAAGTATTTAATTCTGTGAAAAAAAATACGTGTCTAATGTTTTAAATTGATCTACCAGACGGACATAAAACATAACATAACATAACATAAAATAAAGTTTAGGAAACTATCCTTCATTTAACCTCTTTTTTTATATATATAAGACACAATACAAAAGAAACTATGCCTCGCGCAGATCTGCGTCCGGCACTTCATAGGTTAAAATTCTGACTGGATTGCGAATGTCCATGGGCGGTGTCCACGGTGCCAACGAGAAAAAAATAAAATAAGTATCTAATATTTTTTTATTATCTAACTGACGGACTAATTTTAATACCCAAGGAAATTACTATGTTTTTAACTTACTTGTGTACATAGAAGTTGGTTTCTGTAACATTAAATTGTGAATAGATGAACACCGGTATCTGATTCACTAGTACCCACACTTCATCTTTAATGACTTTCAAATCTGAAAATGAAATACAATATGAAAATATTTCCTTTTTTTGACATTTTGTTTAACCATTTATTTTTCAATAAAAACTTAAATAAAATTAATACTAACTATTACTAAATTAAATGTATACAACTTAAGATAAAATTTAATTAAAATGAAACTAAAAACAACTATTTACATAAAGCATCGAAAAATTCGTCCGCATCGACGTCATGGGGAAAGTACTCAGAAGGCTGGCAGCATTGCCACGTTGTATGGCAATGCTTCACCTCTGACCGAGAAATAGACCAGCCCACTGGTCACGAGATGCGTCGACCAGGCGATGCAAAAAATACTTCCTTGATTAAAATTAAATGTTCGCAAGATTTTGTATTCATTAATTCATTCTTTTACATACATTGTATATTAAAAACAAGCTTCTACCAGTTTTGCCCGCCTTAGATCATTCTACAGTTTTGATGTGCGAGAAAGAAAGCTACGAGAGAAGCTCACAGTTGTGGCCTCCCAACCATCTATACGGGTGGATATGCTATCGTGAGGGTCGACGGCGAAAAGACGAGGCAGGTGTCAGACGAAATAATTTCTCAGTACACTCCCAATGGTAACGGCGATAGAAGATGCACAAAGAATTAGATATACGTTTCTTACCAGAAATATACACCAACTTGGTATGGCTCTGAGCCACGACTATAGCAGTCTTGGTAGTAAGTGGAATTTTAGTATTCCAACACATCACTCCATCTTGAGCCACGTTGGCATAGAATAACGCTTTGCTCCCGCTGTGGAAGTCGTGGGACCCACTCTGGGAGAATGCACCTCGCACGCCCTCTAACTGCAAAATTGAGATAAGATTAATACTTCGACTGCGCCGAAAAATATAATCAATATCAATACATAGTATAAAACAAAGTCGCTTTCGCTGTATGTCCGTATGTATGCTTAGATCTTTAAAACTACGCAACGGATTTTGATGCGGTTTTTTTTAATAGATAGAGTGATTCTTAAGGAAGGTTTGTATGTATATATATATATATTGCACCCGTGCGAAGCCGGGGCGGGTCGCTAGTAATCCATATATTAAAGAAGGGCCAAATTAAAAGTTTAATTAATCGACGAGCATACATAAAAAGATTGATGACTGTTGATGAAGCGAAACAGGTATATAGGAAAGCAACGGGGTAGTTGCCAGGGTATGAAAATTAAAAATCTAATTAGTCCGTCAGTTAGGTACCTAATGAAAAATATTAGACACGTATTTTTTTAATTTGTTGTATAATAAAATGATACTTAGATATAACGAATCAAAGTTTAGGAGTGGGATCTAAAACGTCATTTTTACGCATAAAATGTGCATAGAAGTGACGACACGCGACATTTCAAATCAATATAATTATCTCCGAAACTATTAATTCCCGTAAAAAAATAAAAAATACGTGTCAAATGTTTTTAAACAATCTACAAGACGGACATTAAACTGTCAAACACCAAGCGGTCACCGGTGACCGCAACCTATTGTTCTATAATTGTGTCTACAAAACCGGTACTCGACGAGTTAAAATAAAAATTAGTCATCTATCGTATTGTAAAAATTGGCGTTCCATGGTCACATGGGAGACAGACGTGAAGTTATGTTTGTATTTACCTTATAATTTTTTGCAAAATCTGCACTCTGATCTTTCAATATCTCGTTTGAGACAGAATACTCCTGGGTAGATATAAAAGGATGATAGTATGCTGTTCTTTTGCCATCATCGTCTGGGTCTGAGAGAGCCACGCTGAAGAGACCATCCTTCCAGTTGATGACTTGATCTGAAATATTATGATTGTCATCATCATAACATAATCATTATATTTTTTTATCTAAGTTCATTGTTTTAGTAGCTTAACTATACTTCATCATCATCAACAGGCTATAAGTGCCCACTGCTGAGCAAAGCCTCTTCTCACACGGAGAAGGTTTGAGCATTAATCACTACGCTTGCTCAATGCGGGTTGGCGATTTCAAACTTATAATTAGAAATTATAAGCCCAGGTTTCCTAAAGATGTTTTCCTTAACCGTTTGTCAGTGGTGTCTAAATAATCTTAGAAAGTACATATAACTCGGAAAAAGTCACATTGGTACTTGCCGTTGGTAGGTTTTGAACCAGGACGTCATGTATGAGAAGTGCGTCATGAACCTCCAGTCCACCACGACGTTTTTACTATACCCGAGTCAATTCATTCCATGCGGGTAATTCAAAAAAAAGTTTGATATTGTGTACAACTTGTTTTTATCATGTACCCTCCTGTCTCTCAATGTTGTTTTATTATATTGTCATACTCGTACATAAGATATCATTGATGTTTTATAATATTTACAAACTATATTTCAAAGACCTAGTAGATACCAAACTGGAAAGTATTGTTCTATCAATTGTAAATAATATTCTGTCTCAATTGGAAGGATCTAACATCTAAGGTACAGGCTCGGCCTAGTTTAGATGTTAGTATTCATAAACTATGTGTTGAATGTTTTTGTTACAATAAACCCTTTTTATAATACAAGGTGTTGTTTTAAAGCCGCGTCATTTTCTAGGAGGTAACTCGGCTATCGATTCTGATCCTTTTTTTCTCTTCGTTTTCTTTAAAAAAAATGTTGCCCCACACTAGGATTTTCTCCTGTGTCGTGGGTGCGTTTACAAACATACAAGTTCACATACACAATGACACCCAGACCCGAAACAAAAATTTGTGGATCACACAAAGTGTCGTTCCGTGCGTCCGAATCAATAAAAAAATTGTAGATAAATATTATTCATTTTTCTGTAAATAACGGAAATCCGTAAGTGCGAATTACACGCCGCCGTCTTGTAACTAGTTTTATAACGCGGCTTAACACACACAAGCGTAAACACGTAATTGATATTATTTCTAATTCCATAAAACTCCAATAAGAAACATTGCTGTCGCTTATTCTGAAATACTGTCGAACTTAAACGATTTATTATAGCCGTATTTTAACTATTGGCCCAAAATTTTCTCTTATATTGAACCTTTATGACTTCTGTGGTATGCCCCCGAGAAATGACACGGTTTCAAAACTACACCTCGTATTTTATTTATAATATTGACGATGAAAGGCTCACTGAGCACTGATATAAGCGACCTTTTTTACGATATTGAGCTGCATCACATCATCATCGTCAGCAGCCTAAAAGCGGCCACTGTTGACCAAATGCGGGTGGGAGAGCCATGCTTCGGTACGAATGGGCCGGCTCGACCGGAGTGATACTACGGCCTCACAGAAAACCGACGTGAAGCAACGCTTGCGTTGTGTTTCGTCGTGTGAGTGAGGTTACCGGAGGTCCAATTACCCAATCTCCCCAATCCCTGAATCCCCAACGATCCTCAAACTCCTAATCCCCAGAAAGCCGTTAACGCACTTGTAACGCCTATGGTGTTCCAGGTGTCACTGGCGACGCCGATTGCTTACCATCAGGTGATCCGTCTGCTCGTTTACCGGCTTATGCCATAAAAAAATGCATCTTATGCCACGAAAAATGTTTGAGCATTACCTACGCTTGCTCAATGCGGGTTGGCAATTTCACACTCATAATTAGAAATTACAAGCCCAGGTTTCCTGACAATGTTTTCCTTTACCGTTTGTCAGTGGTGTCTAAATAATCTTAAAAAGTACATATAACTCGGAAAAAGTCACATTGGTACTTGCCGTTGGTAGGTTTTGAACCTGCACCCTCATGCATGAGAAGTGGGCGTCTTAAACCTCCGGGCCACCACGACACACAATGAGTTATATTCGGAATCAGCTACTTTTGTCCATCGTATGGAGTATACACTTAACTGAATGTCGCAAAGAAATATGGCTTAGATCAATTGATCAGACATTCACCTGATGTAAGCAATCGACGCCGCTCATGGACATCCACAACACCAGAGGCGTTATAAGTGCGTTCTCGTCTTTTTTGGAGTTAGGGATTAAGGATTGGGAAGATTAGGTTGGGAAAGATAGTTGACAAGTTTTTCTTTATTGGGATAAGCCCGCCACAACCTCCCAAAACCACTGCAACTCCTGTAAACCAGGATTTACAGTAGATAGATCTATGCAAACACCGGAACATTGAAGTCCGGCGCGTCCCAGAGACATGAATAACTGTCGCAGTTCTCGCAACGAAGTGAATCAGAAGATATTATACGAGGAAAAAAACGATAGTTTCCACGTGCCTTGGTGAAATACTACAAGAGACAGAAAGAATTAAGCCTAAAGGCACAAAAAGAGACTGCACAACTGGAGGAACCCCAGCAAAGCACCAGGGAAATCTGGCTTAATTCTAAGTGACCACTCTTAATGCTAAGTGACCTTGGACCCTATCTGTGAGCTGGTAATCGGTGAGTCTATACTAATATTATAAAGAAGAAAGATTTGTACCTATTTTTGTATGTTTGTAAAGAATAGGCTCAAAAAGTACTGGGCCGGTCTAAAAAAATCTTTCACCAATAGAATGCTACATCCTTCCAATTTGACATAGGCTACATTTCATTTTGAAAAAATTAGGGATCCTTGTTAAAATTTGAACAATGTAACCGAAGGTGTAGAAAAATGAGTCTTAAAATGTCTTTCGTCGAATGCGCTGCCGAAACTATTAGCGATAGAACAAAATAATGTACAACAATATTGAAGAACATCATAATGTCTACAAAAAACTCCGCGGTACCATATGTCCAACTGTTGTAGTTATATCACTACAACAATCCAAAATTTCTAAAAATAAATAATTGTCTACCCCGTGCGAAGCAGGGACGGGCTGCTAGTATTAAATATTATTAAATAATATAAAAATAACTTACGTGCGACCATAAAGTCAGTAGCTCCGACGTCATAGTTGAAAGTCTTGTGGCTGATTCTCCATAAAGATCGTTGCTTTAAAGAGAAAACGATTAAACCATTCCTTGCTAGATCATTGATGTAGGCATGAGCGTCGTCGCATTTTGAAGGCAAAACATCTACAGTAATTGAAGTGAGACCTAAAACAGATGAAATTAATATAAATGGTAATGATCTTTAGACTGCCTCATTGTCCGAGTGGTCGCAAGTGCGACTGCCGGGCAAGGGGCAATGTAATAGTGGTTTTTATTTAAATTATCTTATTAGTAGCACGGAGTCTGGAATTGTGCTCGGCATAAGGCTCACCCTCTATTATATGGGACTCATAACATAAATAGTGAAAAGTGGGTGTTACATTGTACAGTGGCATAATGTACACCTCTGCCTACCCCTTCGGGGATAAAAGGCGTGATGTTATGTTATGTTATGTTATAATCTCAATAGAAGCACGGAGTCTGGTATTGTGCCCGGCATAAGGCACACCCTCTATTATATGGAACTCATAACATAAATAGTGAAAAATGGGTGTTACATTGTGCAGTGGCATTAACTTGTGGCGACATATGATACATCAACGGATGACGTCACAAAATCCTACATCGCACATGCAAAGTTTACATGCAAATTAACACGGATAGAAAATCCTAACGAACAACTGTTGGGCAGAAAGCCCGCCAGACACGATCACCTCGCCTGGTCGGAGGATCCTCCTTTTCCCATCTTAGGGAACTATACTCTCTGTTCCCTAAAATCTCATTAGTCTCATCACGGAGTCTGGAATTGCGTCTGGCAATAGGCTCACCCTCTATTACATGGGACTCATAACATAAATAGTGAAAAATGGGTGTTACATTGTACAGTGGCATTAAGTGCCGAAACGTGTACACCTTCGCGGATAAAAGGCGTGACGTTGTATTACCTGAAGTAGTTCCATTAACAAGCACATCCATAGGTATTTCATGTCGCAATATTTCTGTATCAGTCTCCAGGTCGTATATTATAATCTGTGGCGCCCTCTTCTGTTCGAAATTATCTGGAATAAGATCATTATAAAACATGAGTATCCTAAAAACACAAAACTTTGTACGCAAGTCAAGATTGATGTGAAATTAATGTTTATCAAGTCAGTAAGAAATACAAATTACAAGTCACAACCCTACCCTCATTCTCGCTCTATTTACTGACAGTCCTGGGTAGGGTTGCCACCCGTACTTTATAATAAAGTATTGTACGGTATTTAAGGTTGTAACGCAATCAAAAGATACAGCCGTTTATGCCGCAAATTTTCGACACTTGCAAGGGAATCAAAACCTACAGGGTGCTTCCCGTGAACTCAGAATCTTGAAATTTGGTACGAAGCAACGTCTTATAGCATAGATAAAGGAAAAATTACGAAAACCATACATTTTTAGTTACATCACATAATATATGTTTTTTTAATAATTTTAAACTTACTACCCATTTCCTCATAAACGCGTTGAGGTATTAAATTGAAATTCATACCAAATACTCAGGTCTATAATACCTTTACCTTTAAGCTGTAACAAAATCAAACTTCTATGTCAACGCAATCAAAAGAAACAGCAATTTAAGCTGCATATTTTGAAACTCGCAAGTACTCGCAAGGGAATCAAAACCTAAAGGGTACTTCCAGTCGACCTAGAATCTTGAAATTTGGCATGAAGCAACGTTTTATAGCACACATAAAGGAAAAATTCCGAAAACCTTATTACAAAATATATATTTTTTAATAAATATAAACTTATTACTTTTTTCCTCATGAACGCGTAGAGCTATCAAGTTGAAATTCATATTAAATACTTAGATCTAATTGCCTTTAACCCGTGAAAAAAAAAATTCTAAGTCAACGCAAAAACGCAAAAGTACAACCATTGATACCGCATATTTTGAAACTCGCAACTACACACAAGGGAATTAAAACCTAAAGACCACTTCCCGTTGACATAGAATCTCGAAATTTGGTAAGAAGCAATAGCTTACAGCACAGGTAACAGAAAAATTCCGAAAAGCTTAAAATTTTAAGTAGTTATACCACCAAAAAAAAATGTGATTGTAAACGATAAAGAGATCTTAAAATAGAGGTAAAAAATCCAAAAGTAGGTAAATTGTCAAATCAATGGATGAGAGTACGATTATTTTTTAATTACCTATTTATTGCATTGAAAAGTTGAAACATTTTATTTTAAACCTAGGGAACTCCCCAATTGTCTACGAATTGTATTAGTATTCTCATTACGCGATACTGATAGGCTATCTACCTACTGAATAATAAGTTGTGTGCCATCGTAATTGTGTAAAAATCGTGCCATCTCCGTCATTTTACAAAGAATTTGTAGTGGGTGACAGAACTACATATAGGTATTTAAGCGCGCTTAAATTGAGTGACGAATTTGAACATTATACAGTCTTATACAGCGTATGTCATCGTGAATGTGAAATAATATGTTCTGTAGGCAACTCTTTGTTAATGACCTCTTTTGTAATTTGAAATTACGCTCGAAGCGCGATAAGAAAAAAAGTGGTACATAACCTAACGTAGTTTTCGCGCTAAAATTTATAAATCGAAGCCCCGCCACGCTCGAGCGGGCTCCGTGCTCGCGCCAACAGTCGCCGCCGAAACTTTTACCGAGTGAGCGTGTATTGAAAACGCTCTGCGTTCCCGCCAATTTTCTCAGTTTCTTTCTTGACTTCATTGTGAACAACATACAGCCCTAATCTGCTATAACATTCAGAGGCCTTAGTACAAGTTTAATTTACGTTTAAAGTATTCGAAACGAGTACGTGTTCGGCGCTCTGATTGGCCGGCGCCAATGCAGCAACCAATCACAGCGCCGAACGCGTACTCCTTACGATTACTTTAAACGTACAACAAACTCATATTAAGGCCTCAGTATACAAAAATATTGATACTACAGAATTATAAATATAAGGTGCTATATGCTTTAATGGGAGGTAGTATTGTGTTTAGATTACAGTGGTGAAGAAATTTCAATTTCATTTCAATTCAATTTGAGAAGATAAAGAAATTGAGTTTTATAAGACTCACAAGTTACAAATTACGCGCGATGCGTCGCTTAGTCAATGAAAACAATTGCTATCTCTTTCCACGTCTACTGAGAATGAAAACGGAAATCAGCTGACTAGTTCGTCACGATGTAATATACTAGATACTCAATAGGCAGGTTAACAAGTGTTTTAAAAGTGCAATTACTTACCAGGTACGGCATTCTTCCAAAAAACTGAAGTAGGTAGTAAATAAGATGATAAATTGCCCATCACACTTAAAACAGGCTTTGGACTGTCAAGTTAGCGTAAACATCGTGTTTTTTTATTTATTTTTAGGTCAGTGGGTCATCTTAGGGGAGTTTACGACTAAGAAAAATTTTCAATAAAAATAAAAATTCTTAGAAATGGTTAGTTTTTCATTTTCATCGATTAGTATACCTAATAATAAAGCGAAAATCATCTGGACACCTTTTGTCTAGGACTTCAGGTTCGCCTATAAATGAGCTCTAAAGGTCAGTTGGCGGAAACCGCTTTTTAGCACTCGGCGGCCGCTGCCGCGGCACCGCTCGCTACGCTCGCTCGCCTCGCGCCTTGTGAGGGTCACCGGGTCACACTTCTAACCTAACCTAACCAAATGTGTCGGGGTGCTTAAAAAGTGTTTTTACACACTCCCCCAACTTACCTTTAGGGCTCATTTTCAGGCGAACCTGAAGCCCTAGATAAAAAGTGCCCAGATAATATTCACCTTATCTTTAGATATACTAAAAGATAGAAATGAAAAACCAGCCGCTTAAGAATTCTCATTTTTGATGAAAAATTTTCTAAGTCCTCGCGAAATAGCGCCCCTAATGCTACACTCTAACCTATTTTTATTTAAATTAATATCAAATAACGATAAACTGTAACTAAGCGTATTTTAAAGTTAATAATCTTATTTAGATACAACAATTGCATCGTATTTACAGTTATTTACACACTCCCTATGTAGGTACTTATCTACAAAACTGTTGAAGGCACGCTTCCGAACATGTCGTATCACATTATTGTGTCCGTTTCACTTTTACTTGCCTAAATACGCGTTTGATTTTGCACGCGATTTAAAAGACGCTACTAACATCGTAAACTCTGGCAGCATCCCATCCCTCGCAAGAGGATGACGCCGAAAGAACTCTAACACTGCCGGGTCAAAGCGGCCGTATTCTCGGAATCGGTACACTGCATCCAGGATGGTATTATGACTCACTCACACATCGAACCTCTAGTATAAATTAATCCGAACCGCATGTGCAGTTATGGAGGTACAACCGCGGTAGCACTACACAATTTCAATAAAATATATTGTTGATTTGAATTTCGTCGCCTGGGAGGCATTTTTACGTAGCGAGCGCGTATCTCCGACACTGAAACTAACGTCCGGGTAGGCGGGGGTTGACTGGGCTACTGGCGGAGTGGCGGGCGCGGGCGGCGCGTGCGACGTGTTCTGTCTGGGGTGTGCGCGGGGGTGCGCATGCATTGGCGTGCTCCTCGCCGCCTAGCCGGCGCCTATGTCGGCCCCGAGCTGTCTCGTTCTCGAACGCACGTCGTACACTGTTGCCATTCTTCTTCCAATCTGCCATTATCTCGATAAGAATGGCAACAGTGTATGATTGGGCGGCGCACAGTGTGTAATTTCCATAATCTAGAGGGACAAAAGTCTTGAACCTAAACTATACAAATTTACTACGGGATAAAAAATATTGAATGAAATTAAAAGACGTTTTTGAGGTTTATTTGAAATAGTAATTAACACGAATTAGTAATTATTTGAATGTACAAAAAAAAATACAGATTTTATAAAGAGAGAGAGAGATTAATTTTACGAATCATAAAGACCTTGAACATGAAGACGTTTAGTCAGAATAGTGAGATTCTTCAAAGTCGCTCTGGGTATCAGAATCTGAATTATCTGACTGAACTCCTTCGTGTTCAATGTCAGAAGACCTTATTTCTAAAAGTTCACAGACGTCAGGATTCATTTGGCTACGTCTAGTTTTGGGAGCAGCACGTAAGCTTGCAATGTAGGGGTCTGCTGTTATTAATAATCGATTTATTAAGTCTGTGTTCGTGTCCACTCTTGAAGGTTTTCGCGTAAAAAGTTCCCTAAATTTTCTGTTGTCCTTATTTCTAGCCTCTTGTGCTTCTTCCGAAAGTTGGCCGATTGGAAGGACGCAAGAAGTAATTTAGTCTTTCCGTAAAAGAGTATTTTGTGCACGCTAACGGGCATCGGGTATCATGAGTACTCTTTTATGTATAAGTAGAGACTTATAAATTAAAAAAAAAAGTAAGTTTGCTGAAAAAATTCCTGAAACTTATTGATATTAACGTGAAATCCGCTATTTATGCATTCTAAGATGACATCTTTTCCATCTTTGCGAAGTTTTACTTCGGTTGCCATTGCTATCTCTTGCAGACTCGATGTTTCAAGAAGATGTTGTATGCGTCGTCTTTTTGTTTTAGTGCTCGAACTTTCAAAGTCGTTTTGCGGTCTTCCAAGCGAACCCGAACTCGTTTCAGGTAGTGACATACCTCCGAGGCCTTCAGAGGCAATATCAGGTAACGGTAAGTTTCCTTCTAACCACACAGAATTTGTTTTTAGGAATCGATTTCGATGTCTTCCCGACTTCAACCATTTTTGTTCGATTTTTTGAGAAAATCTTCTGATAGTCACTTTTAAACTACTTATAACATCATCCGAAAAGGACGGGTTACCAAGTTCTTGCAATATGTGATGTAGCAAAGCATCCATTCTTATTTATTTTGCATTTGCAAACCAAACGTCGAAAAATTTTCTACGAGATATTTGTGAAGGCATTCTGAAAATTAAAAAAAGTTATATGAGTGTCGCAAATATTCGCAAACAACAGAACCTTTTTCCTGTAACTAACAAGTAGTACTTTCAAAAAAATATAATACGGTATCTGTATACTTCGATATAATAAACTAAAACTCAACAACAAATTCACTTAATAATATTTCGACTAAAAATAATCTCTCTTTAGTATAATGGCGCTCGTGACTAAATTTTAAGACAAATCAAAACAAATACATATGAAAACTTACCTCAATACTTTGAAGAAAACAATAAAAACTCACAATAGCTAGTAGCGCACATAAACTGAGTATATTCAACGATCGAACTTAGCCGAATGACGCGTCTCTTTGAGCGCTCGGTCGACACAACTCAAGTAACCGGCCGTTCTGGCCCTTTTTTAATTGTGTGTTACGAGTTATTGGAAAATAACCTTTAGGTACACGTAATATGGTTTGTCTTCTTTACATAGGAATGATCATTTTACTAGTATAAACTAGTGTAGAATTTGACTTTTGTCCTTCTAGATTATGGAAATTATACATTGTGCGGCGCCCGCGTTTTGCGAATTGAATGAATTCGAGGCAGTGCAGGCAACACGGGATGGTTATAAGCCAATAAATCAATACAAATTAATACGTAGATTTTTTTGTACTCATAGTTATTCAATAATGTATACCTACTATTATTGTCTTCAAACACAACACTACCTCCCATTAAAGCCGTGGCAGATAACTATATAGCACTTTATAGGTCTGTATAATTGCTTCGGTAGGTGATGAATTGAATGTGTAACGGTTTTAAGTATATTTATCTTGCTTTAAATATTAGAGCGAACTCTTCCCACTGATGATGATATAATTCCCCCAATAACCTGTGTTTTTTATTTAACTATAATTATAAATATACGTAACTGACTTCAAAATCAAAAAGAAAGGAAGTTCTCAATTCGAACTATGTATATGTATGTCTATACTAATATTGTACAGAGGAAAGATTTGTAACTATTTTTGTATGTTTGTAATGAATAGGCTCAAAAAGTACTGGGCCGATTTAAAAAAAATCTTTCACCAATAGAATGCTACATTCTTCCAATTTGACATAGGCTACATTTCATATTGAAAAAATTGGGGATCCTTGGTAAATTGGAACAATGTAACCGAAGGTGTAGAAAAATGAGTCTTAAAATGTCTTTCGTCGATTACGCTGCCGAAACTATTAGCGATAGAACAAAATAATGTACAACAATATTGAAGAACATCATAATGTCTACAAAAAACTCCACGGTAGCATGTGTCCAACTATTGTAGTTATGTCACTACAACAATCCAAATTTCTAAAAATAAATTTTTGTCTACCCCGTGCGAAGCCTAGTATTACCTATATATTTTTATCTTGTATAGAAGCACTATTTTTATGGATTGTCAGTGCATACTGACAATCCATAAAAATAGTGCTGCAAATGTGAGCACCATGTTAGACTATAAGACTTTTTTTTAAATTTATTGTTTTGTTTTTGTGTTTTAGTAGGTTTTGTAATTTGTATAATGCGTCACATATACGTACAGTATTGGAATATGTATCAGAGACATTGTAGATAGAACATACTTTTTTAAAAAGAGTAACGAATGGAGTTTCTTGCTCGTTCTTTTCCATTCGAATCTACGTTTTGGAATGAGCACCTAGCTTCACCTAGCTTTATTGACGGACTGACTGGCAGACTATTATTTATTTTGTATTTGTTGACGTTTCAAAAGTACCAAATTATGGTTTAATTGAAATAAATGTTTTGGCTTTGACTTTATGTATGTATTATCGTACTGTACGTTTGTGTGCTTCTTCGATCTTGCGATTGGCTGAACCTATTGTGATGCGGTTTTCAAAGAAGTGTTTATTACACTTGGAAAAATGGTAATTTTAAACTTATGTAGTTAATTAAAGAATTATATAGTATACCTACTTCAATTACATAATAATATTATTTTATATTCATGACACATCTGCATAAAAAACAATTTTCTCTTATTTCGTCTTTCTGCCCTTATCCCGTCTATTTGGGTCTTCTAACAAACATCGTCCTATAGTCCTATTACAATCTCCTTACATAATATTATCATTCTTCACAAAATCTGTCGATCTTCTTTGGTCTCATGAAAAGACCATGGTATACTTACTGGGGACTTCTATAAGACCAGTGTCAACCATCCATAGTCTTTTGCAGGAGTCCACTCGTGGGCGATAGACGGAAACGAAGGAGTCTATGCTTTCAGTATTAGGGTATGGTTTCAGAAGTGGTGATGTACCAGTTTCCAGCGGTACTACGTTCAACGTTGATGGGATCCCTGAGACATAAAAGAAGAATTTTATTATAGAGGTTTATGTGTATGTATACCGGTGGGGCAAAGTATTACTGGGTTTTAAAAAATTCTCAGTAGTAGCACGGAATCTGGAATTGTGTGCGGTATATGGCAATAGGCTCACCTATTACATGGGACTTATAACATAAATAGTGATAAGTGGGTGTTACATTGTATAGTGGCATAATGACTCTACCAACCCCTTCGGGGATAATCGGCGTGATGTTATGTTATATTCATGTGTTTTTATAATAAGTATCGTTAGACATGCTGCAGCTCTACTGGAGTAGCCTACCAAGCGCCTTAAGCTGCACGACATATGTACATCGCCGTGACCGATGCTGCTCATAAGGAAGAGTGCCTCTGTGACTCGGAACTAGAGGCTTTCTCATTTTCTCAGTGTATTTACATGGGTAACACGTAATTTTTAATTTGATAATAGGGGTTTACGTCTTTCATGGAACCTCCACTTTCTTCTAAGTAATTTAATAAGGCTTATAGTTATAGTTACAAAGGGTACTTTTAATTGGTGTTATTGCGTGCCCATATCTATCTGTCGGCTTCTTTACCGCCTTACGCGGTATCTAACAACAAGCGCCGGAGTCCTTAGTATGTTGTTGCCTTCTGCGGTATACCACGGTAACCCGTGTCGGGTCTTCTAATACCGTGGAAGGAAATCCCTTCCAATGCCCCGGCATCATCGATAGACCAAAGCAATATATATTGTATTTCTATAGTCAATACGTTTGAATGCCCATTGGTAAAAATGTAGCATAAAAGATGCTACATTGTCTTGCTGCTTTAGGTCTCCATACGATAACCCATTTAGAACTTAATAGCTCTGTAATTAAATCAAAAATGACTTACCATATCTCCTTCTGGGGACAGTAATAAAAACTTTTTGGTTATAAACCTCGAAACCAATCGGTATATTGTTGTATTGTTTAAAGAATTGAAATTTCTCGTCGATTTCATCTCTGAAGAAGATACTGTCTAATTTCTTCTGTATTGGTTCGTCTTTTGTATCTGAAAAGAGAATATTTATCCTTATTAATCCTTACTATAATATTATAAATCGGAAAGTGAGTTTGTTTGTTTGTTTGTTCCGCTTTCACGCCGTAACTACTAAACCGATTGCTTTGAATTTTTGCAGATGTACAGTTAGAAGTCTGGATTAAATAATAGGGTACTTTTTATCCCGGAAAAATTTGATATTCTCGAGGGAAAACGAAATTATTGGTATAGATGGCGCTGTGTGTATTGGTATATGTCACATAGGCTACTTTTTATCCTTTTGTGACGCGAGCGAAGCCGCGGGTAAAAGCTAGTATCATTATTAATAGCGCATAACAAACTACTGCTGCTCTTTAGGCTTCCTCTACATAAGAGGGCTTTGGGCTAACGACTTACGAAGCGATTTTCTCCCGCGATATGTATCTATATAAAAATCAAAGCACGTTTCACAAACTTATATTAGCGTTCGGTACAGTAACTTTATCTAGGGATTGAGCCGCACAATTAAACGTAGATTCGAATGGAGTTTCTTGCTCGTTCTGAATGAGCACCTAGCTTCACCTAGCTTCACTGACGGACTGACTGACAGACTATTTATTTTGTATTTGTTGACGTTTCAAAAGTACCAAACTATGGTTCAATTGAAATAAATGCTTTGACTTTGACTTTGACTTTAAGTTTGTTTTTTCGTGTATATGTTACTGTAAAAGCTCGAACTACGGTAAATCTTAAGATTTAAGTGTAAGTCTTAGGATTTACCGACATGAGTTGGTAAATGTAAGTATTTCTGAAGATACGACGATTTTTTCTAGATTTACCATTCGAACTTAGTATATGCTAGGTTTTACCACTGTTAGCTGGTAGATGTCGGTTTTAGGAATAAAACAATGAATAATTCTTAATTTTTTACTATTAGACAAAATAGGTACATAGTATTATAAAAATATCATAATGATAGTAACAAGTACAAACCAATATCAACTTATTTAAATTATTTTGAAAGAACACATGACGTATATATCTGAATATCTCAATCTCTGTCATATCTATCTAACTGAATCAGTACTTCTCTATTTGGAATTTAACAACGAAATACAACCATAATGCTTATAAAAGCTAGGCTAACTTAATTATTATTTTTCTTATTATTTGGTTTAGAAGTAAATAAAGATAATAATCAAATGTAATTGATTAATAGGTAAGGTTCCTAAAAAAACATTCTCTTTAATGTTCCTTCTTTAAACGTTCTTTGCAGTTTTTACTTCCTCTAAACACTTAGCGTATTTGTTATTATCTTTTTGTTTGCCACAAGCTCGTCCATTATTTAATAAAATTTGTTTAAGGCTTGGAGCTTCATTTTGTTCACCTCATCGTTGTCGTTGTGGTGAAGATGTCAACAGCCTTGGACACCACGGCTTGTCATGTAGCCGTAGTGCGGGCCGTTTTGCTCGACACGCAAGTATTAATGACATAATTCGTCGAGCTCTTGCCTCCGTTGGCGTGCCAGCTACTTTAGAACCTAATGGCTTGGTACGCGACGATGGCAAGAGACCCGACGGTATGTCATTATTCCCTTGGAAGATGGGTAGGGCTTTAGTATGGGACGCCACTTGCGTTGATACTCTGGCGCCATCCCATCTTCCAAGCTCAGCGTGTCGAGCCGGTGCTGCCGCTGCTGCTGCCGAGAACCTCAAACGGCGAAAGTATAATAGCCTGATTGGCAATTATGCTTTCGAACCGTTTGGGGTTGAAACTTTAGGGCCGTGGGGCCCAAGTGCACATCTTCTTTACAAAGATATTGTAAGGAGGATGGTTGACACTTCAGGTGATCGAAGGGCTGGCTACTACCTTGGGCAAAGGTTAAGCATTGCCATTCAACGTGGCAATGCTGCCAGTCTTTTGGGCACCCTACCTCACGGTAGCGATGAGGAAAATGTTTTCTTTGATGCCTTATGATTTATTTTTATTATTATTATTTTATTAAGGTGTAAATATTTTAGTTTTAAATTTGTTTTTTATATATATTTTAAGTTGTATATATTAATTTTTATCTTGTATTGTATATATTTAATTGTATAATAGTTATTATTAATTCTAGAAA